TATGAACCAATAGTAGTGACAAGTAGAAGTCAAACCACAGAGAGTGTGTATTAAATTACAATTAGTTTTCTATAATTGAGATTACGAAAATAATCAAAGGAAAGTTTGTAGTATGTATTAGTTAACTACGAAAAATGAAGTAAAATTGAGTGCAGTAAATCAAAATGATTAATTATATAAATAAGGAAGCTTCTAGTTTAGAGTTCCGTCTAAACCTCGACTGACACATTTTAATTATTATAGTATCAAACTTTGTTATCTTATGGAATTACTAGGCCTAGATAGCAACACGTTTTGCTACCAAAAATTTTCCTTACAATATATTTAGTCGAAACACGATCTTCAATTAAACCTAACTACTGTAAACAGCTTTGGAGAATCTCTACTCAGCCTCAGTTGTCGGTTAGTAGGATCTTGAAAGACAGGTACTTCCCCACTTATTCTATTTTTGATGTTGTCAAGTCTCCTAATTGTTCTTGGTTATGGTCCAACTAGGTGGAGGTGATTCCTACCTTTGCACAAGGATATGCTGTGGAAATCATAAATGGAGCCACTACTAGAATTCAAGATGTTAATTAGGTCCCTAACATTGTCCATCCTAAACCTGTTATTTTAGACATTGCTAGAGAGCATCTGATTTGGGTTAAAGAGTTGTTGAGTGACACAGGGCAAGAGTGGAACACATGGTTGGTCAACCAACTTTTCAATGCTCAGGATAGCAGTGCAATTCTTAGTATCAACACTCTGAAACCTGGACAAGATGACAGACAATATTGGAAATTTGAAAAGAAAGGCTTATTCTCAGTTTCTAGTCCATAATCCTTTTTGTCTCAGAATAAATATCTCTCCCTTGACATCCCAGTAGCAGTCATGTACCTCCTCATGTCTTAACTGTTAGAGGTATGATGTAAAAGCTATGTTTTGCAGATTCTATCAATTCCATTTTGATCTGGCCATCATGTTTCGGTCAAAGTACATATGTTTGCAGTTTATTTATTTATGC